TCCAGTAGGTTTACAATGAAGACCCGGGTGGCAATAATAAACTCGGCGACCTCCTCTTTTCCCGGTAGGGATGTTGGCTGTCTCGCAAATTTTGTGCAGGACGTACGCGTCCCCCCACAATCAACACTTTGTCGACACTACAGTCAACACTACAGTCAACACTACGAAAACACGGCAATTAAATTTACACGTTTTAACATACAAGATGAAAAATTCACCTCCCTTCGACCGAAAATGTAAAAACTCTTTGGGCAGCTTTGAGCATGGTGTTGACTGAGTGCCTACTGTGGAAGCCCATGACGTGTTGACCTTGAATCGTCAAATCGCACAAGCCTCAATTTGGCCTCAACTGTTTACAGTGAAAGTTGCAGGAAAATGTGGGTCTCTGGCAGTTGGGCAGACTGTAGCGCGGGTCGCTGACGTCAAGCAACAGACCGCTGCTTACATCGTATCAGCGCATACCACCAACCCCTTCGCACCTTCAGGTTTGAGGACTGTAGTATGTTTTGCCGAGTACAACCAGGCGGCATTGTCAGCTGATGTGTTGAGGTAGATAACGCGCTCCTGGGCTGGGATTTGAAAAGCAACGCGTGAGAGAACATGCCTGCAAAACAATTTGCGGGCGACGCACTGGGGGTGGGGGTGGCATGACAAGCTGTGTATTTCCAGACTGGAATGTTCTTGGAGGGTGGCATGCTTTTTAGACACGCTACCTGTGGACTTTGTGTTCAGGTCGCTTTCGCACGCGCACGCGAAGCAGGTTGGGCTCGACGTGGCACCGGCGTCCTGCATTGCCCGGCGAGTGCGTGTTGATTTTCCTGAGAAAAGTTGCTATTTGTGGCACCTTAAGTGAAAAGTTCCCCACATTCGGCCACGACGTCTGGAGCCTTGCATTCCCGCGGAGTTGTGCTGCTGCGTAGATTGGGCACGACATCACGCAAGCGTCCTGAAAGCGGTCATGGCTGTTGAGGACGCCGGCGTAACGGCATTTCCTACTGGAGTTGTCAGTGAAACTTACCAAGACTTAGCTCGGCAAGCGTTCAGAAGAGTTGAAATGAAAACATGAAGCTTGGAATCGCCAGAAACCTGTCGGCTCTAATTGACTCTACTTACTGCTGCTGCAAATCTCTTTGGCCAACTCCCGAGAGCACACACACACACACAGACCTGAACCACTGCATCGGCTACTTACGGGAGCCGCGTTCTAGCGCAGTTGCCTGCCTCAAAATGTCACCTGGCTGTTCATAAAAGCCGCGTTTCAATACGAACTTGCATGCCAGACGCTGCCTTCAGTGCTCATGGGTGCCACGCTCCCCCACAGCAACCAAAACCAGCTTGTGTCCCATAGAATCTATCTGTTCGGCATTTTTGCGTAGCTGCGCTGCCGGCCAACAAGTGACTGCCTATTGAAAAATCTGTTGAAAAACAGTGTCGGACACCTCCCCTACTGCAGCCAGTGTCCGTGCAGTCATTGCCAGCTCTGGCTGCTACTTGAAAATGTATCGCTGGCGCGTCTCACGGTGAGCAGGTAAGTTGCCCGGGGTTTCCACTGAAGGCAGAAAGCCAAACTGGGAAAGCTGCCAGCCTGCACTCGTCTGTGCGCCAGCTCCCTCCAATGTACTGACATTGACGACAGCCACCAAGATCCGTAGCGATCATCTGCTCCTGAGCTACATCGCGGGCACTTTTGCAAGTGTTCTATGAGAAAATGACGGAAAACGCCAAACGTTAGCAGATACTTGTAACTGTGAAAATCGGTTGAGACACAAGGGCGCAATGAACCAGCGTTGCATGCAAGTTTGTGTCTTGCGTAAGTATGCTCAGGGCTGTGAAAATAAGCACGCTAGTTGCTGCCTTTTTGACGTAGACGTAAATCTTATCATGCTACCGCCATCTGCTGTATCTGGAAACGTACAAGGCCCTCGCCTGCGCAGCACACCACACGGAGAAGACTAGCTAAAGCTGCGACTACTCTCCATGAAGCTTGCAACCTGCAAAAGCGACTGCGCATCACACTGATGAACCCTTTGCTGTTAGCTGATAGCATCAATGCTGGCTGGGCGCCTGTGCTGGTATGGTGGACAAAAACAGCCGTAAATGTTGTATCACTTCTTGCTGTGGCTTGCTGCAGTTGCAGAACATAATGCCTATCGGGGCCTATTGGGTTTCTGCCGGGAACCCCACTCAAGCAGCACCCCACGCTTCAGCAGGATTGTGCTTCTGGAGTCGATTTATGGGCTGAGTGGCATCGAGATAACAAACAAACCTGCATGAAGATCGCGCCGTAGATTGATCCGAGTCGGAAGTTGTGTAGTGCGATTACAACAAGCAATAGTGCTCTCCGGATTGTGCGTAGGTACAATATTGCATGCGGGGTCTTGGAGAATCATCCCCAACTATGAGCGACACTGCTCAGCTGCAGCAGCAGCAGCACCAGCCGAAGCAGCAATAGCAGAAGCAGCAGCAACAACAGCAGCATCAGACTACCTTTTTGTCACTCAATCATGAACACTCTACAAGCCGACAACACAAACACGAGTTAACCAACAAACCAACCAAATGCACCAACTAGCCAACCAGTAAGCGAACAAACCACTCAGATAGCCCGCCCACTCGCTTGCCCCACCACCACCACCCATCACCACCATCACCACCACCGCGTTCTGGGTTCCGGGCTACAAGACTTGTACTGCTACCAGGGTACGCGCAAGCATTGGCGTCATGGGAAGCCATCTCGTATAATTTCGCGACCCGAAACTGCTTAACACCCCGAGTGGCTCGCATGAACATATTACAAAACTCAGTTAAGGCATGTGGTTGGAGTAAAGTTCGCACTTTACAACATGGATGCCCAAGGTAAATGCACAAATACAGTGAAGACAAATCAATGGTCACGGCCCAAGGTTTGCGCGTGCATCAGCTCACTGCTTGGTGCAATTCCACCCCTCGTAGTTGCCAGGCCACTTTGAACCTCTCACAAACCTGGTATGGGCCTGCTGTCCGAAAGGCCAAATCCGAAATTCAGTGCGTGGGATGCATGTAAGCGGCCTCAATTGAGAAATACCGGTTAAGGTTTGCTAATGCTGCCCCACTTGGAGTGCATGTCTCAGGACTGTCCTATGGAATTTCTTATACGAACGAGCAAGAATAGTTCTGACCACCTCAGCGCTGCCAGTGGTCAAAGGACGAGGCTCAGATAAAAACCCATAAACCGCACTAGCAATGGAGGACCATGTTGAACAGAAAATGGAAATGAAATGGAAATGAATTGGAAACCTTAGGCCCCTCTAAGGGGATCTATACAGATATAAAGGTTCTAAAGAATAGTCATGAATAATCACATGGAAAAGAGGATGCTTCATGAACTGGAAGCTGCTATTTAGGCTTAGGGATATTACTCCGATCATGGAGAATGGAGAAGAAAGTGGGCAATGAGATGGAAACTGGGCTTAGACAGGGATTGATGCGTTTATACTGATTGTAAACACTCCCCAGCCCCTGACATTGAATATTGTGAATACTACCCCATAAGAACCTTATACATTGGGGACATTTGATATTAGGGCCTTGGGGGGGTATTCAATATTAGTATGAAGTCACTACTTGCAAAGCCACCCTGCGTAGCACCCTTTTACGAAGTTTTTGGAGTTGTTTACGGGTCATGTAAGATCTTGAAATGCAGAGTCCTCTTCTCAATTTTGCTGGCACGCTTTTTCAAAACCCTAAACCTAAACCGTTTTTCCTAGGCACTCTGGGTTTGAGAAACGTGCAAGTAAGACCTTAGGACCTCGGATCTCGGCAATCCAGACCCTCAATACTAGTTTCTATTCTATTTTCCATTATCCCAATATATCCCCATTACCCCTGATATCCCTATAAACCTATAATACCGATGTCCATCTCATTTTCCTTTGCGTTTTCCATTCGATTCCATATGGGGCAATACCCCTTTATAACCCCCAATTTTGGGAAACCTTCCTAGACCCTATTCCCTAAAACATAAACCATAGAACGTAAACCCCAAGCCCCGAACCCTAATTCTTTTTTGACAGTTCTAGGCTCAGGGATGATATTGCAGGGCTTTGGAGTATGTAGTCTCAGTTCTCGATATACAAGGCTGATATAGGAGCACATAGGGGTACTGGAAATGAACATGGAACCACGTAGGGTTTCGGATTTAGAAATAATCCCCCAATAATGGAGAATCACGTGGAAGGGAAAATGGCAAATGACATGGAAACTGGGCTTATGCAAGATTAGCGTTGAAGGATGAAGCTTCGTAAGGCCTGTGCACATTAAGATGCTTGCAACACTAGAGGTTTCAGCAAGCCATTTCATAGAAGACATCAGCAAGATTCCTCATCTTAGCACTTGGAGCATCTAAACCCTGAACCCGGAAGCGCGTGTTGCTTGCTTCGGAAATTGCAGGCCTGGCTTGATCTTGGCTACAAATTCTGAGACTCCATCCACATCTAGGCCCCAACTAGGGTTTAGGGTACATGTAGTAGGGTTCAGGGCACGCTACATCCTATACCCCCGTTGGCAACCTGGAAACGAAAAAACAACCCTGCACCGAACAAATCCCATGCAAGGGCCTACCTGGAGGTGAAGATTCTAGCGCTTAGGTTATGTATCTGCTTGAGGGATCAGGGAGACTTGGTAAGTAGGTTAAGAAGGGGGATAACTCAGGGTCTATATGGGTTATAAGGATTATTGACCTACTTGCTAAGTCTCCCCGACGCTCCAAGTAGATTTTGTATCTACTGTCCTGTCCAGTATCCTGAAGTTGCCTTCTACGAATTATAGACTTTTCTTTCCATATCCTTCTCCAGCTTAGACGCGAAAACGTGAATGCAATTCCTGTAACATGTGGGGGGAGGGGTTATCAAACGTGTGGTCCCTTTCTGAGTACCCTATAATTATAGTTGGACCCGAAGAAGGGACCATATGTTCAACAACCTCCCATGTGAAAAGCAGCCTAAACCCGTCCGTCCCTCTGCCTGCAGAGGCGGACCCAGCACTGTAGCCTCAGTGAGGACTTTCTTGTTCCGCCAGGCGTTGAAGTTCCGAAACCTGGGAAGCTTGGCTTGGAGCCCACGGTTGGTTCAGGGTTTAGGGGTTGCCATGTATCCATGTTCCTCCAGGGCGCGCAGCATATACAAAGCTTTTTAACAGGCGTTGGTTAATGAAACATTCATACTGGGGCGTGCGAAGACACGTGAGGGCGAAGCATCACTAACAAAAGCCCACGTATATTTACGTGTTCTTTGCTCCAGGGTTTACCATGCATACGAGAAGCATGATTCGACCATGACTTTGCAACCTCACGTTTACGTCAATGGAGGTACAAATATGCTAGTGTGTAACACTCACTTATCATCCGTGAGGTTTCTTCCAATGTCTAGTGAGCTTTACTTACTAGCCCTGAAGCCAGCAAGGTCAATAATGAAAACGAAGCTTCAATGCTACGAATCAGGGACTAGGGCTGAACGGTAAAGGAGCTGCACACGGACTGCGTATCTATGTTCAGGACTTCACGCGCGTGATTGTCATTGGTGTTCAGGGTGTACCGACAGCAAAGAAAGGGCTGCAAATTTGGCGAGCTCTTACCCCAGGTTTTCGAAGACTAGCAAGGAGCTGCTTTGTTTTAATTATCACCGTCAAGGCTTTGCGGTTCCGATAATGTGGACTGAATAGGAGGCGGGTGGGGATGCAGAGGAAGTTGTAGAGCTTGGAAGTTCTTTGCTGTCTCTCCCTTACTTCATCTACATGAAGATAACAATCAGGCTTCAGTTGGGCAAGGTGGGAGTACAAGGGGCCGTGTAGCTGGGTCCTCTTCATGCTTTAAAGGCTGTCAGGCTCTCCAAGGACATGCAGAACAGCGCTCGTAGCTCCCCAGGTTTAATGTCCAGGGTTTGTATTAGCCACATCCGGCAGCACCCATCTTCATAAGATACACGCCCACTATCGCCCACTCATACTCTAGGGTTTTGGGGCTGTGGGTTTAGGATTTAGGTTTCAGAGTTTAGGCAGAATCTGCGAGCCAAAGCCAGCAGTGTCAAGCTCCTTCACCAACTTCCGCTGCAGCTCTCCCCCAGGCTTACTGGAGGTCTCTAGAGAATACTTGGGAGATCTTATGGGGAAATAGCAAACAAATGGAAACTTCTACCTTCTGTAAGGGTTAAAGTTTAGGGTCAGAAGACTTATTAAACAGGTTAACAATTGGGCTCACGGGGGTCACTATATGGGTTATAGGGGTTATTAACCTACTTACAAAATCACCCCTAAGACCCTCCAGGTAAGAAAATATCACGCTAATATAGTCACTATTATAATATATTGGCCCCTTGTTCCCTACTAACCCGCAGTGGCATTTAAGCTGCCGAGTGCCCGAGTTCAGCTTTCTCCTAATTCGCCAAACCCTGTAAACCCTAAGCCCCGTTAACCCTACCACGCATTGGAATCCGCATCGAACCTACTATCTGTAGAGCCCCAGGCCCGAAACCTTAACGAACCCAACGCAAAGCTCCGAATCCTACAGCCTCGACTGCAATCCCAAACTCAAAATAATCCCTTTATAGCTCTTAGACAATATCTTCCCATATCCCCCCTTAATCCTGAAGCTCGAATTCCATCTGGCGGCTCATGGATGTCCCAGACCACGCCTCTGCTCGGAGACAGCGCCGAGAAGGTTAACACCTGACGAAGCGCGCTTTAGGGTTTAGGGTCTAATCTACTTTCAGATTCACGAGTTCTTTTAGACCCAGAGACAGCTTAAGCTTCCGTCGGCAGAAAGATGAAGAATCAAACTTCTCCAAAGTACTTGAGGGAACTTCTCAGAATATGTTTCGTTCAACCTATCCCGAATGCTCCTCATGGCTACCCCACGGGGATCGCACAAGTTTGATAAACCATGAAGAAGAAATGGAGAACCATCCGAGGGAACAACGCAGTGGCCCCCTCTTCTGGATTAGAACTGGGCCGATGATCCATCAAGGCATATGTTCTTGCCCTTCAGGGAGATCCTACTCTTACTTAAACCATAGGTCAGCCCCCACTTACAGTAACATCTGCCACAATAGGATACTGTAAGGGGGGGGATGGACCCAGCTTAAGCCAATTCTGCGCACATTAGCTAAAACGCGGCGGCTACGAGGTCCAGGTAATTACGTCGGGAGGGAGGCTATCAACCCAATTGGGTGCAGGGTATTAGAAGGAGGGTGGCGATAAGGAAGTGACATGTGGCTACCTTCCTCCTGTTTACCATGAACCAAAGATTTTGAACGACACTGTGCTCTTGAACATAGAAACTCTGTGTCCAAAAGTGTAAGACCCTCAAGCGTACAAAGCACGGCGAAGAACTCAAACTTCCTCCAACATCGCGACGTAATGGAGGTCAATCATGAAACGCCGGACGCCGATACTTCCTGTCCTTTTTCGGGCCCGGAAATGCGGAACTTGCAGCCGCTGGAAAGTCGCTACCAAATCGGCGATGAAAAAAAAAACTGCGTACAGCTCAGTATGATAATTGCAATATCTCTAATTACAACCCCATATGCTATGATGCCTTTACATATGCGGGACTCAAACATCTACGAGACGGCACTAAGTCCCGAACCCTGAGCCCAAGACCCTAAGCTCAATACTCTGACCCCAAACCCACCGCAATAAACTCCAAACCAAACTCTGAGGTTGTAAGCTCTAAGGCCAATGCCCGTTGCAAACCCTAAACCCTGAACTCTAGACCTTCACGCCCATTCTTAACACGACGGCTTAGACTCTAATCTTGCCTCCGGTCTAAAGCCTTTGCCCTCTTTGGCGATCATGCGGATGCAGGCATGGACCATGTCAAAGCGATGCCTCAAACCATGGCTTGAGGGAGCGTACTAGTTATCGGGTTGAGGGTGTAAGCTTCGAGGTGTAGGGTGTCCTGGTTTGGGTCTACCTGTGCGGATAGCACTTGCTGGTAGGAGGTGAACTGCAGAAAGTAAAGTAGATGCTTCGTAGGAATGTTTTTTTGGATGAGGGCTGGTATAGGATTCACGATCACATCTGGGCATTAGGAAGTTTCATGAGCAAAGCTGATAAGCGTGGAAATATACACTTGCACATAATGATTTTGTACTCTATGACAAGCAGATGATTATCTGCTAGAATGAGCAGTCCCTTTCATAATCCCCAGGACTGCGAATTTTAACTTCCCTGGTCGCAGTCATGGGCTAAACTCAACAACGGCCAGAATGCCGCCAAATGTCTCAAATTGGTGGTTTTGTGGGGCTGCTATACCAGGAATAGATTGTAACAATGAATCCAACTTTCAAACTCCAAATCTGCAAGCCCTTGCATCCCACATGGCAGTCAGCTTGCTTATGCCACTTAAAGAAATCCAGCAAAATTGCGTGATTTCCAGGAACATTGCAAGAATTGTATAAGACTGTAATACAACCATGGATCCAACCTAGCTCACATCTACTTTAACTAGTTGCCTTGCGACCAGCGCCCAAAGTTACCAAGCACATTGAAAGAATTGCCCGCCGGCCTCCAAGGTTCCATGACGCCACCACCTAACGCTGTCAACAATCTGTTGGTTTGTGTACGGTTTGGTGTGAAATCACTTCACACAACTTTCCGGGGATTGGACGAAGTTTTGTGGTTCGGGCCTTAAGACAAACGGTCCAGGCAGTATTCACTAATCTAGTTGAAGGGTGGAAAAGGGCAGGCATAGCTGCCATCCCGCACTTGGCGCATAATTGAAATGAATCTTGCGCTCCTCCGGGACGCATCTGGCAGGCTTCAGATTTCACAATGAAGCATGGCAAGCTGGGATGTTGGTTGGGGATTTTAGGGTAAGGCCAATGCAGCATCCCATTCTCCGCACATGGCATCTATAAGCCTCAAAAGGGCAAAGTACGAAAAAATCAGCCCCACACCCTGTTGCACAAAGTGTCCTCAACCCCAAGCCCCGATTCCAAATGTTTAAGCGTTTACTGTCTATGGGCTGCTGGTTTACACTGTAAGAGTTGGCTGTCTGAAGCGTGAATGCTTGTATTGTACAGCATCCCTGTCAACAAACTAATTTGGGATACCATCGCTGCGTGAATCCATATCAACCAGAACAACCCCAAACAGCTGAAAAGCGTACCGAAACTTTCATGTCAACGGTCAACTTCCTACGCACGAGTCCTGAACCTTCTGCCCTGAATCTTGACGCCGAAATCACAATCCCCCAAACAGAAAATGCTGATGAGTCACATTCTTCGCAGAGGGCGGGACCTACCTCAAGCTTGCGGGCGTCAAATGCATCCTGCAAAGGCTAAGCTACAACACTTGTGGTTTTGGGCGTAGTTTTTGCTCAAATCTGATGTTGGGACAAGGCAAACCAGCGCTTGCAAATTTTGCAAATTTTTCGGGCTCCAAAGCCGTGCTGGGGGCACTCTATACGGAATCAGGAATGTTTTTAATCGCGCTTTCACCCGTTCTTCGGACTTTTTGATGAAAGCGCGCGAAAGGGCTTTCAGGGCTAAAGTCGAAATCAAGCAAAAATCTGTATTTTTGGTTCACAGAAGCGGACACCCTCATTTGAGACACACCAACATACCTGCCAAACCCGTTCCACAGCTTCCGAAAACTGGAGCAAAACCCAAATAGACTCCGTCTCGGCAAGGATTATCCCGCGCACGGTGTGTGGGAGACCTCCAGCTGGAAAAAAAGGATTGCATGTTAAAGATAACTCGATACGCATTATCATAATTCGTTTGATGTGTTTCCAACGGTGCTCGCGTCACTAGAGGGCGTTACGAACCGTGGGAAACTTTGCAAAAAAAACTTCCCTGATTTCAAGATCCTGGGTTAAGAACGTTTGAGTTATCAAGAAGCTTAACTACGGAAGCAAGGCACGGGAGGCACAGGAGAGTTAAGAAACCGTGTACCCTACAGTATGGGGTGTCTGTGTGGCACATCTTGGCGCTTCAGGAATGCAGTTAAAAGGCCGCGCCTTCTTTTGTAATGACAGGCAACAAAGCCTCAAAAGAAACCGTTTCAAGCCCAACCGCTGATCTCGCAGGCAGCCAAACCCTCAACCGAAATCCTAAAAACTTCTCAATCTTCAAACCTCTGCATGCCCATGCGACTAGCTGTTTTGAGCTGAGCAATGCCAAAAGTTCACAGGATCTCGACACCGATAGGGCGTTTTGAAGGCCGGTTGTGGGCATACCAACAGCCGAACATCTGAGTCCACCCGACCCTTGGCGCTTTGAATCTGTAATGGCTGCTCACTTGCAAAGCTCAAGTTGCGACCATGATTTTGCCTCCTCAAAATGCAGTGCCTTTTCTTGACAAGGAGATCAGAAGATTCTGCGACCCTCGTGAAATTGTCATACCAACGTGGAAGGATGTGGAAAGCATTGCGTTTCTTCACAGACGTCACTAATGTTTGTTTCCCTGGATTTGTGCTTCAGCAGCAGTTCCGACCCATCACCTCAGGCGAGCCCAGGAGTGGTTTCGCACACTGTCTGCCCAATGTCCAAAACAATCTTCATGCGTTGATCCATCCTTGTATACCTGCGCAGATGAAAACAGCATCTGAGAACCCCGTCAAATCTTTAAGTGAGGCAGCAGCTCGGCCTCGAAGCGAGATTCATCCGGCTTCATATTTTCAACGCCGCAACGCTACATACGTACCTCTTCTTAGGCATAGCTGGAAAGGCTTGCCTATGCCGGCGCAAATCTTGTGGAAATCGACCCCCTATTGCGAAAATTCAGCGCGCGCACGACCAAGGGTACGTTCGTCCGCAATTTGTGGGCCGCCTACAAATGGCTACACATACCGCTGCCAAAGTAGCCAACCTGATGCATGTTGGTACTCTGGCACTGCAGCAATCATAGACTTCCACGCTTTCCATCTCGCGTGCGACAAAGCCTTCGTAGCGCAGGAAACGCTGCTTTAGATCGGCGTACCCGTGCTTGAAATCACCATCCCCTCATTGCGGACTATGTGCTTCACGGAGCTTGGCCTAGCACCCCAGCATTTGAGGCTGCCACAGCGAGTCTAACAGCCGAAGCAGCTTCTCCATGATAGTCCGCAGCGTCTTAGTCTACAAAGCAAATCTCAGCAAATGAGGCGCTCCCATGTCACCGTCAAGGTTCCATGCCGTGGTCTGTTCCCCTATTGGAAAATACAATCTGCGTCTCGCGTCTGCTCTGCAAGTTGCTTTCCTTGCGCTCATTTGAATGTCAGGGCCCATGGCACAGCTGTCGCGCAAATGTGTGCAATAAACGTCGTCTCGTCGTGTAAATGAAACTTGAGGGTTAACGCATGACTGCGCAGGAAGGTTTTTGTGCCACTGCTCAATCAAAAAAACCAGCAGCAACGTTCACGATATTATCTCATGTGCCCAACAACGCTGCAGCACCAACAGGCCACGCGGGCTGCCACGACTGAAGGCTCAGCTTGAAAGCCAGTTTTTTTTAAACTAGGTGCCACATCAGCCAAGCTGCCAGAATCAGATCTTGTGCTCCATCGGCGGTTGGCATGTTCCTCTCTTCTTGTCTTGGTTTGCTGCTTCTCCTGTTGAGTTGATGCGTTGATTTTCATCGGCTGTTGGACACGCGTCCGCTTCCTTGCCTGCAGATTTTCTGGGGGCTTCACGCGTAGCGATTTTTTGTTAATTTGCTAGTCGGATTTGCGGTTTGGTTGTTTGAGAGTCTTGGTTCCAGCTTGCGTGCCTTTGAGGCTTCTACGCTGGGCACTTCGGCCAACTTTCTCCTTATACTTGTTTGTGTTCGCTGGTTTTGTCTGCGGGCTTCCCCAAAATTATGGCAGTCATTGCCTGTTTGTGTGGCCCTGGTCTAGACGTGCCTCCTCCCCCACTTTTTCTGCTCACCTGATGTTCCATGGCCTGCTCTGGCTTTTTGACCGAGTTTCTATCCCTTACTTGCGCTTGCTGCATTGCCCATTGATCCTTGTGAAGCTATGAATGAGGTTTTGAAACTGTTTGAGTTTTGTGGTGAAGTTGCCTCTTCGTTCAAATTTATCTTTTTGATGGGGGGAAGGTGAAGGTTTTGACCGCCGCCCCGTCGCTTTTGCAGTCGCTGCGATGATATGTTTTGTTGCAGAATGCCGTGATCTTCTTTCTCGGCGCTTTGATTTGGGCTGCGTGGAGCTGCAAAGCACAGAGTAGCCGTAAAAACCTTGACCGAGCAGGGGTACCTGGTTGAAACATCAACACCGCTGCGTGCCTCCACTCGGAACATCTCTTCTCTTCCATGTTCTCCTTGCATGTTCGTGCCGCGAAGAGCCTCATGCAGTCTAGGCAACTTGCGGCTAAAATGGTTTTACGCTTTTGCGTTTCAAAGCTTTGGTTGTGAAAATGTCAATTTACGGACAGCCAGCACATGTTCCCTTAAGTCTTTTGCCCCCTAGCTTGATTATAGATGTTGCAGAATGAAGCAGGCAAGTGTTTCTCCGAAATGTGAGCAGAACACACCCCCCAAATGCAGATAACATGAATTCATTGACACCTTTCTCTCTAGCCCTGGCTCCAGGACACACCATGAAACCTTACAGGGAACTGCGCGCAATGCTGCAAACCTGAATAGCTCACCACCTTTGCCCACACTTTGAAAGCTTGGAAGATCTCATGACACTTGCCTGCTTGAGGTTGCGCAGCGCCGTATACCAGAACACATCCTGAAGTCGTGCGGGCCGAGTTGTTTCATGAAATCTGCTGGCTTGGGAGTCATGCTGCGGATTTGCGCGAGTGCCATCGTACTTGCCTCGGTCCCAACAAGTGAAAACTCAACATGGCTCCCATATGCATCCAGGAGTCCCAGCAAGCACCATGAAGCCAAAGCAGTCCAAGCAAAAGAAGCCGGATCTGCAACTCCATCATCTCAGTGATGCAGTTGTTCTCTGGCCATCTCTTTGGCCATCCTTTACCTTAAACCCTAAACTCCTAAACCCTATACCCGATACCCTGCGCACTAAACCCTGAGCCCCGAAAGCCCGCGTAAACCCCTACTGTAGCCCGTAAACCTTACGCCCTTAAACCCTAAGCCGTTCAACCCGACGCCCTTAGACCTTAAACCCTAGCCTTAAATCCTAAACCCTAACCTTGACCCCTGAACCTCAACCCTTGACTCTTGGCCCGAAATCCTGAATACTGGGCCTTGAAGCTTTGGTGATCTAAACAGGCACAACCACCTTCACAGCCAAGATGAGGAAGATGGTCAATTGCGGGATATGCTCCTGATGCATAAAATTGTGGTGTTGCCCACAAACCATGTTCCTAGAACTTGATCATAATCCAGCATCTTGTCTTTATGAGTGGGGTAAATGAGGTCGACATTTCCAGGCTGCCAAGGATATGGGGGCTTGAGCAAGCCTCTTCAATACTGCAGCCCTATACATGTTTGGGGTTACGTATATAAGTCCATCATGAAATTTCACATGCGTTAGCAGCCTTGGCAATCTGGAAATCCTTCTTCACATTTGTGTTCTCCTGCTTTGGGTCCTGATGCAAACTTATCACTATGGATTTTCCTTCATGTGCCACAATTCCTCTCTCCTTCTACGTGACATTCTTGGGAGGCTGTTGAAGTAAGTACCACATGACTTGCAACGCACAGGTACTGTGTCAGTCATAGCAGCAGGCAGGCCAAGTGCCCAGCAAAACAAAGGTCTCCGTCTCCTCTTTGTCCTGCGGGCACATGTCTGCGTCAACTGCAACCTCGTTTTTAGCTATGCACCTTCACATGGTTCTCAAAAGTTGTTGTTAACTGCAGCTGCCCAGAAGGCCTGGACATCTGGGTCCTGTCAACAGCTCTTATGTTTTGTTTCATGCATCATCGTGTAATGTGGTCTTTGAGCTCCTAGGGTCTAACATGTAAATATGTGTGAGGATGCCCCGAACCTTTAGACCCTAGCTCTAAATCGTAAACTTTGAACCCTGAGCCCGATCTTGCCAACGCAGCACACACACAGTGGCTTCTCCTCTTTCCTTGAAAAGCAACATGCTCAATTGTTGTAGTCGGTGGGAACATTGCAAACGGCTTTGCTCTCGTTTATCTTTCTTCTGCTGCAGCCTGCCTTGAAGCTCCAGCAAAGGCGCGCTTGACAAAACCTCATCATGGTGCTTGCTCAACGTTTAAAACAGAAGATCTGCTGCGAAAACTCTGCCTTGACTGCCCCAAAACGCAACACTTGGCATGCCCCATGTTGCGGCTGCTTCGCAAATGCTATGTTGGATAAAAAACCTGTGTTCACACTAAGAGCCGTGTCAGCAAGTTCACAAGGTTTCTTGCATC